AGAACTACCCCATAGGGTTTCCAAGGAGCAGCTGGTAGATTTGAACTGCTGACCTTTTGGTTGGCAGCCGAGCTCTTAACCAATGCACTACCAGGGCTACATTCTACTCCTAGATGTAATAAAATGAAATTTCTAAGATAAATGATATCATATGTCCTTACAAACACTTGTACTTGAACTTTCATAGGTGTTATATTTTTAATAATCAAAAACTGAAATAATCCAAACATCCATCAACAGATGAGTGGATAAATATATTTTGATATATCCATCATACAATGGAATATTATTCTGCTTAAAAAATTATTGGATGTCTCTCAAAATAATTATGCTGAGTGAAAAATGCCTAACACAGAGTATACACTATATGATTCCATTTGAGAATTTTAGAAAATGAAAAATTTATAATGACATAGAAGACCAGCAGTGGATGAGGAACAGAGTGGGACAGGATACTCAAGAATCAGGAGGTAATTTTTGAGTCTGCTGGATATGTTCATTACCCAAACCATTGAAGTGATGGTTTCATGGATGTGTGTTTGTGTGTGTGGTGTGTGTGTGTGTGTGTGTGTGTGTGTATAATATGTCAGATTTTTAGAAGTTGTGCACTTTAAATATGTCCAGTAATTTTATGTCATTTAGAAGTCAATAAAGCACACCTATTGCATGGGCAATGGGAACGGAGATAATTGGGGACAGTAAGCAAAGCTTAGGCCAGAAAGCCTAGGGCCATTAGCGTTCTTGACTATGAGATAGGTCTTTGTAGACTTCACAGCGAGGCAGTACTTTACAGGCCTCCACACTGCTCAGGGTATGGCTTACTACAGTCCCTACCTGTCCCCATGTGCCCACAGACAGCCTTGGTGCAGGAGGTACACCAGAAATTCTCACCCTGGTGTTCCCAAGTGATTCGCCTGTACCCAGGACAGAGGCACCTGGAGCTGGAGTGGACAGTGGGGCCAATACCTCCAGGGTGAGTGAGCACAGGCTGAATGACAGGGAGGTCATGGGAAAGGTGGGGCTTGGGTGGGGTTAAACTTCCTTCCATCCAATCTGGCTCAGAACTGGTTTTGGAAAGGAAGTCATCAGCCGCTTTGACACGATGCTGGAGACACATGGACGTTTCTACACAGACAGCAATGGCCGGGAGATCTTGGAGAGGAGGTGGGGATGGGCAGGGACACTGCAGGGAAGAGGGTGGCTTACAGCATGACTGAGTCTAGAGAACAAGAGGGGTGTGTGTGTTCATTATATGAGTGTTGGAGGAAGGAGGTGAGAGGGATGAAGGGGACTCCATCACTAGCCCTGGCAGACTTCTTTTACCTTTCTCCAGGCGAGATTATCGACCTACCTGGAACCTGAACCAGACTGAGCCAGTGGCAGGAAACTACTATCCGGTCAACAGCCGCATTTACATCACGGTACCGTTGAAACCCCCAGCCTGACCTCCACAATGCATCTCACCCTCCCATTCCCCAGACTGGGGATCAGCCCCTCATCCTGTGTCCCTTAAGCCTGTTTCCATAGGTCCACCTGCTCTGTACCCTTCCTATGATCAAGGGCAGGCATGTAGACATGGTTCTTACCCAGACACTCTCACCCCCCAGGATGGGAACATACAGCTGACAGTGCTGACTGACCGCTCCCAGGGGGGCAGTAGCCTGAGTGATGGCTCCTTGGAGCTCATGGTGAGTGGATCAGAGTCCCAAGCCAGGATCCTCCCACCAGGCCTTTTCCGGAGTCCCCACTTGGCCTTAAACTGGTTTCCACTCACATCCTCCCACCCCCACACACTTATCACTGTCTACTCAGGTCGTCCCAGCTGGCCTATAATCTTTCCAACTTTGGTACCCAGTTCCCACCCTGATCCCCTTACTGGACTTTGACCACTCTTTCTGTCTCATTTGTTTGCCAGGTGCACCCCACAAGATATGGACTGTAAACTAAGATCTTTGGACCAACTCTTCTAAGATGAGACCCCCATACCCATGCTGTTCCTTTCTCTAGGTCACTCATTATCTATTCCCCGCCCAGTTCTGCCCAGGACTCTTGTCCATTCCCAGCCCCCACCTTAGGTGCTTGCGTCCTCACTGTCCTAACCCTCTTTCTTAATCTGACTCCTATTTCTTCCTGGTTCCACCACCAGACTTTTAACTCAGTCCCGTGAGGTTTTTAACTCGTCTCCTGGTCTCCCTAACCCGTCCCCAATTCTCCACCCAGGAACCTCCCGCCAGAGGTGTAACTAAGATATGGCAGTAGCGCATGCCCTGGGCGCCTCTTTAGGAGGGGCGCTAATGAGCAGTGTCTGTTAGCCCTCAGCAGTTTCCACTGCCAGCTGAGAGAGAATTCATTCAGCAATTTAAAACTAATTGCCATAGGCGCTATTTTCCGCAGATAGGCCCCTGCCTCCACCAGGCCTTCATCTGGTCACATCTCTCCCAGTTTCTCACCTCTTACGTGGTTGATCTTCCACCAGGTACACAGGAGACTGTGGTCAGTCGACGGATATGGTGTAGGTGAGCAGCTGCTGGAGCCAGGCAAGAACCTCAAGGGTCTGTGGGTGCGAGGGCGACACCTCGTGCTACTGGACACGACCCAGGCCGCTGCTGTCGGGCACCGGCTACTAGCAGAAAAGGAGGTCCTGGCCCCGCAAGTGGTGCTCGCCCCCAGCGGCGGCGCCCCCTGGAGCCACCAGGGCAACAGACGCAGAACGGTGAGAGATTCCGAGCGTGAGGGAATAAATAGAAAGGAGGGAGGAAAGGAGAAAGGATCATGGTCATGGAAAAGAATGTGCGAGTCTGTGAGAGAGCTGAGGAAGGGACAGCCCTTCTGCCCACGGTAAGGATGGGACAGGAACTTGGTGGGATGGAGGCCGTCCATTTCCTAATCAGTCCCTCTCCACCTGGCCTGACCCCCAAAACGTCCTGGACTTTTCACCCTGCTGTCATTTTTGTCCTGTGGGCCCAGACCCGCACCCCTCTTGATACTCGAAGTCCCTCGACGCCGCTGTGGCTCAGCCTCCCGGTTGTGGGCTCAGCCACGTCCTGGTCCCGCCCCCCATGCAGACTTTCCCTCTCGCCGGGGACGCGCTCTGCGCATCCAAAAGCTCGCCCCCACCCCACCCCCCGTCTCTTCCCTATGCTTCCCATCCCCTTCCCTGTCCTGGGCTCCTCGCAGCCCGTCAGCGCTCAGCCTCTCCGCCTGACCACCCGTCCCCTTTGTGCTTCAGTCCTGTCTGGGCTAAGCCCCACCCCTCCGCCTCCAAAGTGAGACTCCCTTACTTGGGCTCTGTACCGCACCGATCTCTGATCTCAGGCGCCCAGCCCAAACCCACTCGGACCCAGTTCAGCATAGCACCTCCCTACTCAGTCTTCCTCTGCACCTGGACGCCACAAGTCGAGTCAAACCGCGTCCCTTTTCCTAGGTTCCGCCTCTTAGGTGAATAAACCCAACCCCACCTCCTGACAACTGCTAAATCCTGCCCCGCAATGGCTGAGCCTGGTCCCTCCACTGCTGTGTCTCACCCTTCCCTGGCTGAACCCCGCCCCTCCTGGGCTGAGCCACGCCCCGTCCTTTTCTGCAGTTCTCCGCACTGCGCAGGGAGTTGCCGCCTGCAGTGCGCCTGCTCACACTGGCCCGCTGGGGCCGCAGGAAGCTGCTACTACGCCTGGAGCACCAGTTCGCCGTAGGGGAGGATACAGACGGCAACCTGAGCTCCCCTGTGACCTTGTACTTGAGGGTGAGCAGCGCAGAGGTGGGAAGGAGAAAAGAGTTGAGGGAAGAACCCGCTTTGCCTCCACTTACCCGGCCCGTTCACTGTCCACAGAATCTGTTCTCCACCTTCACCATCACCCGCCTGAAGGAGACCACGCTAGCGGCCAACCAGCCTCGGGATCGCGCCTCCAGGCTCCAGTGGACACCAAACACAGGTGGGGGCCAGCAAGCAGGAGGAGCTTGAAGGTCAGGAGGTGGTGTAGATGTCCAGGAGAGGGGCATAAGAGTCTGAGGGTGGTGTCGCCGGTGTGAAGGCAGGCGGAGGGTTTCTTGACCAGGCTCAGGAATAGACATTGAGGTTCTGGGGTGACAGCTCCAGAGAGGGCTTTGAGGGTATAAGACTGTGTCCAGGCTTGGGGGAGGCAATCCATTGGGGCGCGAGGCAGTGGGTAGATGCCACCTTCACTCCTTGTCCCCTTCTGCAACCACAGATCCTGCCCTCCATACCCCCACCTCCTCCCTGGATTCCACGGCCATGGCCATCACGCTGCAGCCTATGGAGATCCGCACTTTTCTGGCCTCTGTCAGATGGAAGCGTTTGCAGAGTCGCCAGGTCGTCCACCTCAGAGCCGGAGCACCCTCCACCATGGGCTGGGTGAACCACTGCCTCTCCATCCTCCTGCTGCTGTTGCAAACCAGAGCCATTAAAATGCCACCCACAAGCCCCAGGTAGGGGAATGACTGCAAGTCTGCTTTTTCATTGGGCACCAATGTGTAACCCAGAAATGGCTGAGCTCTACCAAGAGACTCACTGGCTGGAATTCTGACATACAGACCCACGCTCACTCCCGTTCTCACTCAGGTTCTTGCCACCCTTACCCCTCATCTAATTTTTCCTCTTCCAACCACTCATGCCCTGGCAAAGCTGCCTTGAGAAACCGCTCAGGGTGGCTCACAGGGCTTACCCTGCCTGGCCTTGGAGCAGCCAGGCCCAGAGAAGGAGAGGTAAGGATTCAGACACCACTGAGAAAGCCTAATGCAGCAGGTGACATTTGATGTGGGTCCAAGAACAAAGCTTTGGAAAGGTGGGGTGGAGGTGAGGGCCCTCCAGGAAGAAAGCACAGAACAGCCTGAGTCCTATGGTGAGATCTGGGGTTGTCCTGGAGGCAAGAGAGTGCTGGTTAATCCCAAGCTTTGTGGTTGGAAAGCAGTAAGTTCATGTCCAGGCTGGTGAGGTTGGGCAGGTCCCTTGAGCTCTCTGACCCTCAGCAGTCGCTTGTGCAACATGGAGATAAGGCTATTGTGAGGATTAAATTTTTCATGCAAGGTACATAACACTAGGCCTTACATAGTGCAGGCCCCCTACAAAGAGGGGTAGCACTGTTATTGTTGCCTTTGTTGCTGTATATAGTAATGATACAGTGGGATATGAATGAGGTTGGGCAGGCAGGGTCAAGTCATGCAAAACCTGAAATGCCTGAGGAACTGGGACTTGAGGGCACTAGGGAGCCATGGGAGGTGTGTGAGCAAGACAGGAACAGAGTGAGGTCTGTGATGGAAAGATTCCTCTCAGACAGCATTGAAGGGGTAAGAATTGAAAGCTGGGAGCTTTGGGAGGTGCCTGTGAGACATGGTGGGATCTAGGTCACAGTTGTAGCCATGGGGCTGGCGAATATTAGATGGGCTCGGGCCTCCTTGGGGCAGAGATTCCAGGATTTACTGATGGATGGCATTTGAGGGGTGAGAGAAAGAGTCAACTCATGATGAGTTCTGGGTGTGGGGCTGGATGGGGATGCTACAGATTCAGGTGTAGGTAGAGCACTTAAGGGGAGTGGGGTGAGGTGGAGTGTGGGAATCAGGAAATTAGTTTTGTCCTGGCTTTGTACATGCCATTCCTTTTGTCTGGATGCTTTTCCTTATTGAGCTTGCCTGAATGACCTTTGAGATACTTCTCAAGGACAGAGCCTCTTCTGGGAAAGTTTGTGGAGCAGCCCCAATTTTCATCCAGAGAGGTCGCTACTCATATTGTCCTACAAGCCTCTGTTTCCCCACATCTCCCTCACTGGAATATACACTACCAAGATCTGACCTGATGCATACAATTTACATGCATCTGTCAGTTTGTTGTACTGTGGTGGCTTGCATGTTGCTTTGATACTGGAAGATTTGCCACTGGTATTTGGAACACCAGCAGGGTACCCCTGGTGGACAGGTTTCAGCAGAGCTTCCAGACTAAGACTAGGAAGAAGGACCTGGCAGTCTACTTCTGAAAAAATTGGCCAGTGAAAACCTTAGGAATTGCAACAGAACATTGTCTGATA